GAGAGAAGTCGATGACATGAATGGAAACAAAATGGCGCCATAAAGTTAAAAAGTATTGACGCCACCGCTGAGCGCAAGATGACATGGGATGAGTGATTGGTGATGAGTGGATTAGTGATCAGTGATTAGAAAAAAAAAAAAAAAAAAGGTGAGGTGTGGGATATTACTCTCTCTGTGTTGAAAACTCACCATTTTTTATAATTGCCCCTCTTGCAGAAGATAGACTGAAATAGCGGGACGGCGAAAAATACGGCGCGCTCGGAATTTTGGCGGGAATTTATGGCGCGTTCTACAGCTGCCGACCCCAGCCGCACTTCTTAGCACTCGGCGCGCCGCTGCTGCGCCCCAGGGCACGAATCCCTGCCCCAAGGCGCGTATAGGCGGCGCTCGACCAATCAATGGATTGCTGCTGATTGCCCCCCCCCCTCCTCTCTCTCTCTCTCTCTCTCTCTCTCTCTCTCTCTCTCTCTCTCTCTCTCTCTCTCTCTTTGCCGATTTAATTACCGAACAACGACGAATCCACGCCGCCAGTCGCTAATCGTTTCCTCCTAACACATTCGCGACCGATCTTACGGCGTCCAATCCTTCTCGAGCGATCTACCGCGAAAGTTCATAGCCAGCAGCGAAACTTCGTTGAAGAGTCCACGAAGGTTCCCAATTCGACTGCGAGACTTCCCAAAAGTCTCCGCGACCGCAAGGCGCCGCCACCTGTAGCTGAAAATCTTTGCTGCCCTCTTTTATCTTTTCCCGCCTTTTTCTATTTCCACGTAGGGATCCCCATCAGCTGCGACGCCACGGTAGTCCGTCCGTCTGTCTTCTCCGGGATCTCTGTTGCTAGACAATGCCACGCATTCACGCCGCCTAAGACGATTTCTTCCGCGCGTCACGGTTCAATCAATCAATCAACCAATCAATCGATCGACCAATCAACAAAAAAACTTTGCATGAATAAACGAAACGACAGCAGGATGAGCCACGTGGCAACGATCCACTCTGCACACAGATAGGTTAGGTAGTAGTCGTAGTAGTACCAGGGTTTACTTGCGCGGAGGAAGGTAGCTGTCGGGCTCGTTCGGAATCGGTCGGGATCGGTCGGTCGTCGCTTCTTTGGAGTCGGCTGACGAATGACCGCGATCGGTCGGGACGTTGAGTTGCGACCGGCGCGGGCGGGACGAGGGCAGGCCGAGCCGACAACGGGAGGGAAAAATGGCGGGCCAAGAATTGTTTGGTTTTCACACCACACGAATTCTTTTCGTTTTCACACCACACCTACGCGCGCCTACGAACGGCGCTGAACACGAATTCTTTTGTTTTCACACCAGAGATACGGGCCTACCTGGTCGATCTCGCTTGCACGTGCTCTTCGCTGTGCACCGTACCTTATTATTACCGAGATTCCTCGGCAGATCCGGGGCTAGGTCCCACTTGCACGAATTAAGAGATACTAGCCGTAGATAGCAAAGATCAACGGCCCAAATCTCCTAATTTGCGCAAGTGGGACCTTGCCCCCCCGGATACGACCAACACGCGCCACTGGGTCCTACCGATAGGCCCCGACCAGACCCAGCCCGCCAAGCCTTCAGAGTCCGGTCCGGATCGTTCTTAGGGTATCCATCCACGGAGCTGCACTCGCGTCAAAGGGACCGCTGTGGGCTTTAACTTCATTCGCAGGGGTATTCACGAAACTCAGTATGCTTCCCGGCCAAAGGAAAGAAGAATGAAGTTAAAGCCCACAGCGAATACCCCTCAAAGAAAGAATGAATGAAGGGGGCTCCACTGTCGTACCTACTACTTCAAGGAAATTCCTCGAAGTGAGCGGCGGCCCACTGCATTTTTTTTTCTTCTTTTTTTTCTGTCTATATTCTTCTCCCAACTTCTGTTTTTGTTTACCTTCCACTACCTACTCCTAAAACTATCTAGAGGGGACCCCTGCAAGCATAGTTTTCCTCTCTTTGTGAAGGGGAAATCCCCCCTTCACTGCATTTTTTTTCCCTCCCCAATGCAATTTTTTTTTTTTTTTTTTTTTCATCTGATTGCAGCGGGGTTCGAACTCAGGTACTATATTTCCACTTCGAAGTGAGCGGGGGGGCCCACGGTCTTCGTCCTTTTTTTCTCTTTTTTCTTTTGTTTTTGGAATAATTTGCAAAATGCTCCTATAAGTTCAAATAAATGCCTAAATGCCCCTAAAAGATGTGGGTAGAGCCATATGCCCTTTTGGGCCTAAGTCTTTGCGTTTTGCCCCTGTCAGGCCCATGTGTAAGCTTGCAATCTCGACCGCGTCGTCGGGGCCTGGGCCTGCACCCTGTTTTACCCGGTTTGCCCTCCATACCCGGTGGGCAACTTTGTGCAATACACAGGCCCGTCGGTGGGCCAGTTTGTCCTCCCTGGTGAGGTTCCCCATCTCCAGCTCCTCCTCCACGTCACCATCTTTGAAATCCTCCTGCTCGCCACTCTGAGAACTCTCTCTCTCTCTCTCTCTCTCTCTCTCTCTCTCTCTCTCTCTCTCTCTC